TGAATGGATAGATAGGTGTGTATGGGGATGGATGAATGGATAGGTGGCTGTGTATGAGGGTGGATGGAGGGAGATAGAAGGGTGTGTATGGGGGTGGGTGGAGAGATGGATAGATAGATGTGTCTCAGAATGAATGGATAGAGGGGTGTGTATGGGGATGGATGGATGAATGGATAGATAGATCACATTGTTCTGGAATGTATATTAAAAATGAGAAAGAAGGCATCATTGTTTCTCATTTTCAACATGTTGGTGGCTGAAGAAGAGCAGGGTTTGTGGTTGGGCCAGGAGCACCTCTGTGCTGAGCTCCAGGCAGGGTGCAGATCTGTATTTAGAGTAACGAAGCTGGGGGTTGGTGGTTAGAAATGATGGAAGGGGGTTGTGAGGAGCTGATGGAGTTGCTGGATAGAATGGGGGTTGATACAATGTCAGTTACACTTATGAAACCATAACTGTGCATTTCCAGACTCTCATGCATCTTGTTTATTGAAGGTTAATGTTAACTTAGAATTTCTCAGGTTTCAAATGTTTGAGAAAAGTCTTGTTTTTCCATTCAGAAAATGATAGCAATTTGTAATCATAACTTCATCTGAACAAGATTATTTGTCTGGAATTTCCTTATTTTTTGAAAATAAAGCTATAGGGGAAAAGCCACCGGTGCTGGGTGGGAGTACTTATTCTCCACCAAGTAAGTAAATTATATTATATTCTAGATGATAGCTATGTTCATTAGCATACAATGGTCTGCTGGACAGAACTGCATCAAAGTTTCTCCAGCCTTCTTAATGCCATCCAGGCCAGCCAGTTCAGCTCCAGACTAAGAGGTCAGCAAACTGCCCTGGCAGACTTCTAAAAGTCCTTCAACCCAGCTAGGTCAGCGGCAGACTTAAAGATATCCGTATGCTAGCCCTATAGCCTCCTCAATGTCTTTGAACCAGGTTGCTTCTGCAAAGGACTTTAAGGAGTTCTGAGGGTTCTTTTATGTTGAGCAAGCATGTGGCAATTTAGCAAATTATTCTGTGGTTTGGGGTTTTTTGCTGCAAACTCCCCCCACCCCATTCTTTTCCAGAAATGGTGAAATTTCATTCTTCCAGATTTCCAGGAGATTCTCTGTGCTTTCTGTTTTCCAAACATGCTGTAACCCTTCCATAAGTCATCAAGCCCAGTGCTCTTTTACGGGCAGGACAGGCCTCCAAACAAGAGTTTTGGAAAGGATGTAAATGTGACGGGTTTGGTCACAGAAACCCCCTTGGGACTGTCACCTGACATGCTGAATTTACCTCTGAGCCCTTTTTCCCTGCCAGCTTCAGACTCCAGAACCCTGCCTTGTTGAGCCAGACACGCTAGCCTGCTGCAACCCAGACCCAGGTCTGATCCACGCACCCAAAGCTGCAGACTTTAACCAAAAACTGCTCAGTAGGTTACCTATTTCCAGCAACCAGACACCCAGTTCCCAATGGGATCCAAACCCCAAATAAATCTGTTTTACTCAGTATAAAGTTTATACAGGTTAAACTCATAAATTGTCCGCCCTCTCTAACACTGATAGAGAGATACGCACAGCTGTTTGCTCCCCCAGGTATTAATCCCTTACTCTGAGTTAATTAATAAACAAAAGTGATTTTATTAAGTATAAAAAATAGGATTTAAGTGGTTTCAAGTAATAACAGACGAACAAAGTAAGTTACCAGGCAAAATAAAACAAAACACACAAGTCTAAGCCTAATACCTTAAGAAACTGATTACAGGTAAAATCTCACCCTCAGAGATGTTCCAATAAGCTTATTTCACAGACTAGACTCCTTCCTAGTCTGGGCCCAATCTTTTTCTCTGGTACAGTCCTTGTTAGTTCCAGCAGACATCTTAGGTGAAGCGCAGGGGTGTTCTCATGACTGGAACCCCCCTTGTCCTGCTCCACCCCCTTTTATAGCTTTGGCACAAGGCAGGAATCTTTTGTCTCTCTGGCTCTCCACCCCTCCTTCTAAGTGGAAAAGTACCATATTTAAGATGGATTCCAGTATCATGTGACATGGTCACATGTCACTGTAAGACCTCATTCTTCATTACCCATGGGCTGGCCCACACACACACAGGAAGGCTTGCAGGTAAATAAGCCATTTACAACCAATTGTCCTAGTCAATGGGAGCCATCAAGATTCTAAGCCACCATTAATCGCCCACACTTTGCATAATTACAATAGGACCTCAGAGTTATACTTCATATTTCTAGCTTCAGATACAAGAATGATACATGCATACAAATAGCATGAACACACTCAGTAGATTATAAGCATTGTAATTATACCTTACAAGAGACCTTTTGCATAAAGCATATCCTAGTTACATTATATTCACACTTATAAGCATATTTCCATAAAACATTATGGAGCACAATGTCACAGTCAACTCCTTTCAGTCCTGATTATTTACAAAGAATGTACAAAGTTCTGTTCCCCTGAGCACAGCAGAAATGAAACTGGAGATAGTTTCCTTGCGCACAGTTCCAAGCCTCTTTCAGCCAGCACTCTGCCCAAAAGCTCCCTCTCTAGAGCCACGTTCCCAGTGCTTCTCCAGGCTTTGTCCTTAGCTCTCTGCTCCATCTTTGTGGTCTGTTTTCTCCTTGTCCCTCTGTCTCACAAACACACACCCCTCTGCTCAAAAACAATACCCAGCAAGGCCCCTTCACCCATGTAGTTTAAGGTCCTGAGCACTCTCCCATGTGCCTATGTTTTGGGTGCAGGCTGCTATTGTTTCAACCACCTGGTTCCACAAAGAAGCTCAGGCCCAGATCCTCAAGGAAATCAGAGTTAGGTGCCTAAGTACTAGGGTGACCATATTTTTCAAAAGGGAAAATGGGACACCACTTGAAGCTACCCCAGGGCTCCCCGCTGCCCCCGCCCCACGGGGCTGGCGTTGCCCCCCTGCAAGTTCTTCTGTGCCCTGCTAGGGTTCGCACCCCACTTTTTTGGCAAAACTGGGCATTGGTCCCATTTGCTCTTGCCAGCTGATGATCAATGGGCAAAAGCAAAGGGGACAAATGCCCAGTTTTGCCAAAAAAGTGAGGATGGCAGGGACAGGGCTTAAAAAAGGGAATGTCCCAGCCAAAATGGTAGGCATGATCACCCTGCTAAGTACCTACATCTGGGCCTTAATGGTGTCTTGCAACTATCGTAAGTGAAGCATGGCAGTTATGCTCCCTCCAGTTTCAATGAGGTTTAATCCAACCCATAACAACCTACTGGGGGGTCTGGAAGTGACTTTCCTTTGGGGCAAGTTGTCCCATCACTGTCTTCTGCTGCGGTTCTTGCACCTTCCTCCGGAGCAGCTGGTGCTGGCCTCTGTCAAAGACTGGGTACTGGGCCCGATCCTTGGTTCTGATTCAGTCTGGCAGGTCCTGTGTGTGCTAGAAATTTCATGGTTCTTGTCCCTGGGATACGGAGCTGGGGCCAGGGCAGTTCTGTGCGAAGGACTGAACTAATCTTTCATCCTGTTAAGTTTTACCGGGAGGTGAAAGGCATCGGGGAATATGAGCCCGGCAGAGCATTTAGGATTGGTCGCAGCTGTGCCTTGAACATAATGTTACCCAAGTGCCTTATCTGATTTCGGGGCCCTGCGAGTTGTTCACAGTCCCAAGCCTGCCTTTCCAGCCAACACTCTGTGCCCAAAAAGCTTTTTCTCTTAGCTTTATCTCAGGGCCACATTACGGTGCTCTCAGGCTGTGCCTGCTTCCCTGTCTCCCTTCAGGTTTGTTTCCACTACTACGGTGCGTAGATAAGCCGGCGTCACCCCCCTAGTATAGACACATCCTGCAGCGACAGAAAGGGTTTTTCCATCACTGCAGAAAAACCACCTTCCCGAGCAATGGTAGCTAGGTTTATGAAGCATTCTTCCATCTGCACCAGGGGTTAGGTCAGTGTCACTACAGGGCTCAGGGGCATGGATTTTTCGAGGATGGTCTGCTCCTTTAAGGACCAGGGGCCTGGGACCAACCAGTCCTGTTCAATTATCAGTCCCAGCTGTAAAGGGCTCAGGTGAGAGAAGAAGCTGCAGGAGGGAGGGTGGCACCTGTGACTGGCCCTGGAGCAGAGAGAAGTGCCAAGAGGCCCTTGCAGCCTGTGTTGATCAGGGGAATAGCTTTGTTTTGCTTTGTAATTTTTCTATTTGAATTAATAAATGGTGCCCTGAAGGAAGGGACTGCAGGAGGCTTTGTCATGGTGTTGAATTCTTCCTGGGCTATTAAGACCGGCTAGCAGCCCTATGCAGACCAACCTGGGTGCGTACCCCTCACCTACGGGGTGCTTCTCTGGAGCCCCCTGCTCCCCTGGACTGGAGGGTCTACGACTCCCGTGCACAGTGGGTCTGTGTGTTGTTGTCCTTTGGCCTGAGTGGTGAGTCAGTATCTGGGGCTTTGCTAGGCTGTTTCCATTAGGAGGAGAAATTGGTGATGGGAGTCAGGCATTTCTTTGGTGCAAGCCTGCTTATTTCAAAGAACGTGCACAAAGTCCTGTTTCCCGGAACGCAGTAGAAGCAAACAACAGCAGGCAGGTTCCTTGCTCACAGTTTCCAAGCCTGCTGTTCCAGCCAGCACTCTGCCCAGAAGAAGCTCTCTCTCACTTGACTTCCTCCCAGGGCCTTGCTGCCAGTGCACCTCTTACTTTCTGCTGGCTTCCTCTGGTCCCTTACATGCATATGCACACAGATCTGCAACCAAATCAATGTCCCAGCTAAACAAATGGGTATTTAATTGCTCCCTCATTTAGCCTGAATGAAAGATGGATAGCATGCAGCTTCAGCGAGGTCTGGGATTGCCCATAGATCTAATCATCATCATCATCATCATAATTAATAAATAATACTTAGATCAAACACCTGATTGCTGGCAACCAATAACCCTCTCCAGCACAACAATATTCCTTATTCCCCGCTGTGCTGGGGTTGGATTTTGGGAGTTTGTGTCTCCCTTCCTGCTCGCTCACAGAGTTTGTCTTGTGTCATTCCAGACACCAGCGACAGCGACCTTGAACTTTCATCTGTCCGGCACCAGCCAGAAGGGCTAGACCAGCTGCAAGAGCTGACCAAATTCACCAAGAAGGAGCTGCAGTCGTTGTACAGGGGCTTCAAGAACGTGAGTGTCTGTTGGGTCCTTCCCCCAGCCCAGTGATCCCCGAGAACAGCTGTGCCTTGTGGCCTCTGTTGGGCTGCATCTGCTGTCCGTATGAGACTGGAAACCGCACCCTGGAGAGGTGGGAGCTGGCTGAGATACAGCCTCGGGGGCTCAGGAAATTCATCCCGGTGCCGAGCGTGCTCACAAGGCCGAGGCACCATTTAAGTCCTACTGAAGCTTGGAGGGCGAGATGTTAACGGGTCTGATAGGAGATGGAGTGGTTTTGGCCTGCGCCTTGTTCATCCCCCGCTCACTGAATTTGGGAGCGGGGCGTTGGGTGAAGGGGATTCCTAGTGCGAAGTGCGAACACTCGGGGTATGCTGACCCTGCTTTGGGGTGTGATTACAGCCCAGGTAGATATCCTCCCGCTAGCTTAGAGCGAGGAGCACAAGCACAGGCAGCTACATGGGCTCACCCTGCCTGCTCCCTGGCTGTGCCCTTGAGCAGCCACCCCCTGTCCTGCTGTGGCTTCCCTGCTGTCGTTACGCCACTCGATCAAAGCTGCCGCGGGAGCGTCTGCCCGTGTTGCCGTCACAGCTCTGCCTGCGGCGTAGGCTGGGGGACGCAGGCTGAGAGCGGAGTGGATGGCGGGGAGGGAGGAGGATGTATTACAGACCCGAGCCACCGAGCATGAGTGTGCTTGGCCGGGGGTTCTGTTCCTTCTCGATAGGTTTTTCTACCTCGCTCATCACCGTTGTTCCTGAGCGCCTTGCAGCCGTGCGTTAAGCAATGCGCCAAGACATCTGTCACCACGGGGACGGGGTGGGCGTATCGCCGGGGAGAGGCGGTGCACTGGCATGAGAGGGGGCCAGGAATACCAAGGTGCATGGGGTCAGGGTTCAAGGAGGGAGCATAAGAGCACAGAAAAATATAAGGAAGTATTTCTTCACACAACGCACAGTCAACCTGTGGAACTCCCTGCCAGAGGATGTTGTGAAGGCCAAGACTATAACAGGGTTCAAAAAAGAACTAGATAAGTTGATGGAGGATAGGTCCATCAATGGCTATTAGCCAGGATGGGCAGGGATGGTGTCCCTGGCCTCTGTTTGCCAGAAGCTGGGAATGGGTGACGGGGATGGATCACTTGATGTTACCTGTTCTGTTCATTCCCTCTGGGGCACCTGCCACTGGCCACTGTTGGAAGACAGGATACTGGGCTAGACGGACCTTTGGTCTGACCCAATAGGGCCTTTCTTATGTTCTTATGCCCTAGGAGGACGGATGTCCTGGGTGCATTGCAGGGCAGATGCTTGTTGCATGGCAGAGCCATGGGGCGAGAGGAGAGTCCTGGGTCCGGCCGGTCCGGCTACATCTAGGTGCCTGATCTGTGGGGAGGGTGATGGTCAGACCAATTGGGGGCTAACCTCCTGGCGATGACTTCCCTCCGTAGGAATGCCCCAGTGGCCTGGTAGACGAAGACACCTTCAAGCTGATCTATGCTCAGTTCTTCCCTCAGGGAGGTGAGTTTGGCACCAGTTTCCCCCCCCCGAGACCTTCCCAGAGCAGGGAAAGGGTTAAATTATCTAGCGAGGCACCAGGAGCCCAGAGCCTTTATCCCAGGCCTGTCCCAACGTTGCTGATGTCCCACTGCGAGGAGAAGACTCTTGTCTGCAAAGTTCCCAAGTCCTTCCACTGAGGCTGGGCCCCAGGCTCCTTTGCCGGCAAATATCCACAGCAGGAGCCAGCTGAGCACTGCGCCTAGCCCCACACCTGGCCTGAGCAGAGGATAAAGCAGCCAGGGGGTGATAAAGGCACTGGTGTTTTGCAGTATCTAGAAACCTGTCATGCTAGACGCGGTACCCTTGGATAATGCAGAGCTGGTCCCCACCCCGAATAGCTGTAGCTTTACATGTCATTTCCTGTTGCTAGCTAAATAATTATCCTAGAAACCTGCCTACGTCCACGCTGGGATCGGAGGACGTGAGCTCCCCGGTCACCCTCACTGTGCTGTGAGATTGCTCTTATCCGCTGGGGTTTCCATACGGGCAGCAGCGAAGATGCAGGACAGTCCAATGGTTAGGGCCTGTGAGAGACTTGGGTGCAATTCCTTGCTCTGCCACAGACTTCTTGTGTGACCTTGGGCCTGTCTGTGCCTCGGTTTCCCCTCTGTGCAATGGGGAGAACTGGCCTCACAGGGGCATGTGGGTAAATGTGTTTAAAGAGTGTGAGGTGCTCAGATAAGTCCCATCGATAATGGCGGGGATGGGGAGGAAAGTGCCAATGTTTTCACTGGGTCTCTCTTGTTTCTCCTCTCCCAGATGCCAGCATGTACGCCCACTTCCTGTTCAACGCCTTTGATGTGGACCGGAACGGAGCCATCTGCTTTGAGGTAAGATCCCAGCTCCCCCTTTCAAAGGGCCAGGTGTTTTTTAAACGGTATTTAGGAACCTAATGAATCAGCCCACGTCCGCAAAGGTATTTAGGCGCCTAACTCCCCTTGGGAGTTTGGAAAAGGTTCCCCGTTGTGGTTGGTTATTATTTGTAGTGCAGTAGTGTCCTCAGGGTCTGATCCGGGTGTTAGGTGCAGATCCCTGCCTTGGAGAGTTTGTAATCGGAGACTGCCAGCTCCAAGTGACGGTTCAAATCGGAGGGAATGGGAGTTAAAAATGGCCCAAGGGAGAGAAAAATCCGGCCCACTCATTCTTGGCTCCCTGTCCTAAAGCGTTGTGTGGTGGCTGCTGCACACTGTGAAACAGCAGCTGCGTTCAACCCCAGAGGTGGCTGCATTTCAGTGCTGCGGGGAGTGACTCACACATATACGAAAAGTGCCAACGCACCTTTAACAAGCAATCAGGGCCTCAGCGTTACATCTTGTCCAGAGAGGGCCCCACCACTGGAAGTGCTGTGTCCCGTAGCACTATGGAGGCATTGGTTCAAGAACATAAGCCCCTCCTGAGTCACCAGCATCTGTCCTGCCACCCTCGATCTCCCATCCAAGTACAGTAGAACCTCAGAGCTACGAACACCTGGAGAATGGAGGTTGTTCGGAGCTCGGAAATGTTCGTAACGCTAAACAAAACGTTCTTTCAAAAGTTTGCAGCCGAACATTGACTGAACGCAGCTGTGAAACGTCACTGTGCAGAATCAAAATTCTGCTCTCGCTTTATTATTTTCCTAGTTTACGTTTAACACAGAACTGTACTGTATTTCCTGGGTTCTTTGGCCTCTGCAACTGCCCGGTTGCGTACTTCTGGTTCCCAATGAGGTGGGCGGCTGACAGGTCAGCTCGTAACTCTGGTGTTTGTAACTCTGAGGTTCTACTGTACTGCTTTCGGGGCATGCCTGCTTAGCGTGAGATATAGCTTGCCAGCTCAGCTATCTATCTGAGCAGAGAGCACTAAACATGCTCCGGGTAATACGTCAGACGGGATTTTTATTGTGGGGCAGAAAGACTCTATAACCAGATTAGGCCCTGTTTTGTTAGCTGTTCAAAATTAGCAGATCATAAGATCAAAAAGCCTTGGGCTGTTTTTTCTTATTTGGTTCATACATACATACACTCAATGTATATATATTGTCCAAACAGTTAGTAACATTTCCAAAGAACTGTGGGATTGTTTTAAATAAAGACGATATATAAATGTAAGATCACACTCATGTGAGTGTGTGTGTGTCTATATAAAATCATTCTTTTATTTAGTAAATGGATGTAACACAAATCTCTCAGCCAGCCAGCCACCAAAATGCCTTTTATTTCATTTCCAACTTGGGAGGGGGCAGTTAACGATTTTCATTTGGTTATTTGTGCTCCGTGCGTTGAGCAGTAAGGAACCAAAGAGGGTTTTTTTGTATTATTATTGTCAGTGAGGGGCACTCGGGCTCAGGTGGGTAGCGAGGTGACTAAAAATAGACCCGGCAAAGAACAGAAACAGGATCGATAGGAAAAATACCAGGAGAGTTTCATGGTCGATAACATTTCCGCTTCACCTTTTGAAAGGTCACGAGCCACCCCCTTTTAAAGAGCAAGTCCCAGGCACCAGCTACAAAACGGTTGTTTTCCTTGGGGCGTTGGTTGGAGGGTGGTGGTGGGGGTTGCTTGCTATATGTTTGCAGTTGTCCATGTGCTGGGTTGTTTGCCTGTCCTGCTAAGTCTCTGCTTCGGTCTCTGTTCCAGGATTTTGTCGTCGGCCTCTCCATCTTGCTCCGTGGGACCGTGCACGAAAAGTTAAACTGGGCTTTTAACCTCTATGATATTAACAAGGACGGCTACATCACCAAGGAGGTACCTGCAGCTGGGCTGAGGGGAATGTGGCTGCGGGTATGCATGAGGTTTGGAAGGAGACCAGCTGGCGGTAGTGGCTGGCTGAGTTTTGCCAAGTGTGAGACCTGAGGTCTCACCACCTCCACATCCACTTCCATGGCTTTGACAAGGCGACAGCCTCTTTCCAAGTGCCCATAAAACCCCAAGTTTGCCCCTCTTCCCCTAGATCAGTGCGTGAGCCCTTGTGAAGCCCATAGGGCTAGATTTCAGAGTAACAGCCGTGTTAGTCTGTATTCGCAAAAAAGAAAAAGAGTACTTGTGGCACCTTAGAGACTAACCAATTTATTTGAGCATGAGCTTTCGTGAGCTACAGCATCCGATGAAGTGAGCTGTAGCTCACGAAAGCTTATGCTCAAATAAATTGGTTAGTCTCTAAGGTGCCACAAGTACTCCTTTTCATAGGGCTAGAATAACAGCTGAAATCATCAGGCCAGGCCGTGACCATATGTCTGAGGCTGGGAGAGAACAATGAGCAAATGTGGCTTTCTTTGGTGGTGCACCGTATGGCTACCTGACATGGACCTGGTTTACTCATTAAACCTGCAATGCTTCTCATGTCCTGTGGGTCACATCCTTCCCCACTGAAATCAATGACTAAACTCACGTTGACGTCACTGGGTCCACGACTTGGTCCTATGCGACAAGTTTGCCGAGTCAGCAGAATTCCGTAGGTTCCCGTGCTGGCTATTCCTGCTGTGAGCCTCTGGAAGCCACCTCCTCTACACCCTACTGGCCTGGCTTCCCCACACTAGCGAGGAGCACTGGTTTGCTTTGGTGCTGCTGGTCGAGGCATCTGGAGCCTACTGCCTGCCCTAGCATGGTCTGTGTCGATGCTCCACTCCCTTGTGGTTTGTTTACCAAAGCGAGGTTCACATCATGCACTGAGTCAGTTTATGGAAGTATTTGGTCCCTGGCTATGATCTCTGGTACCATATTAGGGGCCACATTTGAAACACTGAAAGATCACTACCAAAATTCTGCCCCCTGGTCATGCATTCAACTGCCATATGTGAGGACAGGTTTGAGGCAATGACACCTATGACACCACACAGCGCAACAAAGCAGGAGACAGTCCCTCATCTAGACACAGCTCCCCACTCTTCAGGTTTGTACGAGTCTTAGATGGCAAAGCCTCAACTGGCTGCATCTCCAGAGGCTTCAGCAGGACGCAGCGCTGCCTGCCAGGAGACCTCAGGGGTTAGTTCAGTGAAGGAGCCATCCTCAGTTGAATACTCCAGCTTTAGGAAGTAGTGCCCTAGGATAACTAATGACCACAAGTGGTCAGGACATGGGTTCTGTGTCTTGATGCACTGCCAACAGCACAGACCTCCACAGCACCCTTCCCGCATGGTGGACCCCACCTGCTGTATCTCTAACACTGCCGTGGGACCCTGAATGCACGTACCCGCTCCTCAATCCTCAGAATCGTTTCCTGCAGCCCCATGGTGCTCTGTGGAGGTCTCTCGTCTAAAACCCAGACTTACCCTGCTTAGCTCGACAAGGTCACGGCACAAGAGAATAGATGACTGTTAATTAGCACTTTTCCTCAGTCGATCTCAAAGCCCCTTACAAAGGAAGTCAGTAACGTTCTTCCCATTTTACAGATGGGGAAACTGAGGCACAGAGCGGCGATGTGATTTGCCCAAGGTCACCCAGCAGGCCAGTGGCAGAGCTGGGAATTAAACCCAGGTCTCCTGAGTCCAGTGCTCCGTCCACTAGACCGTATTGCTGCCATTTGCCTGGAGGTGGGCAATGGGGGACGTCTGGTATTGTGGCTGGGATACACCTAAAATCCCCGGGCTCCCGCTGCGCGATGGTTTCTCCTACTCCCTCACTCAATGGAGTTAACCCCTCCGTGGGGATGCAGCTCATAGGGCCTGCCGAGAAACCCATTGTTTCGCCCTCATGATTTTCGATTGGCCCTGATGCCGACCTGAACCTGGCTGAGACCGGAGCACGGTGGTGGGCTTTGTTTGGGCTGCCTCCCCATGCTGAGTGCGTCTCCCTCGTTCTCTGCCAGGAGATGCTGGCGATCATGAAGTCCATTTATGACATGATGGGCCGCTACACGTACCCGGTCCTCAGGGACGATGCCCCTGTAGAGCACGTGGAGAAGTTCTTCCAGGTAAGTCAGCTCGTAGGCGCCTTTTGCTAACCAGGGCAGTGGGCTTGGGCCACACACCCGTAGGTTCCGAGTTAGCCAGAGGGCAGAAGGGCCTGGTTCCTCCAGAAGCCCAGCCGCAGAGGGCCTGAGTCTGGTCTTGCTTACCCTGGTGTAACTCAGAAATGGTGTCTTGGAAGTCAGTGGAATCACAGGTGCTGACTTGTATATTTCCCGGTGGGTGCTCCACCCCCAGTCCGCTTGAGGCTCCGCCCCGTCCCACAAGGCCCCACCTTTGCTCTGTCTTTTCCCGCCTCCCCCCCACGCTTTCCCCCGAGGCCCCGCTCGCTCCCTCCTCTCCGCCCCCCGGCTCCACTCAGCAGCTCCCACCCACCGAACAGCTGATCCGGGGAGAGCCCCAGGCCGGAGCCAGCATGGCTGGTGGGTGCTGAACACCCCCTACCTTTTCCCCCGGGTGCTCGGGCCCCAGAGCCCCCACGGAGTCGGCGCCTATGCGTGGAATTATGCTGGGGTGGGAAGGGTGTGGGCGCGGGATTAGTTTCACTGACACAGGGGCAGACGCAGATTCCCACATGGCTGCAGGCAGGAGGCAGAGGGCGGGGGCCGTGGCTGGAAATTCTGCCGCAGACCCTGGCAGCTGCAGAGGCGGGGGCCCCATTAGGGACTCCTGATGCGGATTCACTGAGATTGGGTTACAAGCCACAGACACACTCTGGTCCCGGGGGGGCCGCTCCATTACAGACCTTAGGCCTGGGCTGGCAGGCAGGAAGGAGCACAGATTGGGAGGAGCGTCCCTGATGGGGGCTCACAGCCGCAGGGCAGAATGCAGGCAGCGAGAGTCCATTCCCAGGCGCAGAGGCCTGCCAGGATCGCAGGAAGGTGGACTTTAGAGTACAGCCGGGCGCAGCGGGGTGGAGGGGGGGAGCGCGTTCTTGCACATAGGCCCAGAGTCGCCGGGACCGCCGCACCCGCGCCTGCTGAGCGTTGCTTTTCCGTTTCAGAAAATGGACAGAAATCGGGACGGCGTGGTGACAATCGAGGAGTTTTTAGAGACCTGTCAAAAGGTGAGCGGGTCGCTGCTGTGGATTCTTCATCGCCCTCCGGGTACTGCAGACCCCTCTCCTCTTCCTCTTGACCACATCCTTGGCCCCTCTTCTGGATTCAGAGCCCATCTTACCCATCTTTCTTTCCTAGTGTCCATCTTACCGATTGGCCCGGTGCATTCTGCAGCCAGGACACTGATTCATCTGACCCTCCACATTCCAGTCACACCGTTTCTAATCCCTTTTGACTGCAGCTTCCCCCCGTCCAGATCCTCTCCTCTTGTGAAACGTGGGCTGTGGGATTCCACGCAGTGATTCCCGCCACGGAGGCACTTACTGCATAAGCGAAGAGGGGATGGTGCGGTCGTAGGGAGGCAGGCGACCAGACCAAGCTCCGTTAAGGGCAGGTTGATTTGACTCCTGGAGCATGCCCCCGTGTGGGTGGTAGCACATGAGCAGTGCTAGATGACACACGTTGGCTCAGTAACGATCCTTAGCTAATTTCATCGGCAGATCTCAAAGCACTGTCCAGAGCAAGTCAGTCCTCCTATCCCTAGTGGGAAAACAGGCGCAGAGCGAGGACGTGACTTCCCCAAGTTCACCCAGTAGGCCGTCTCTGTCAGATGTATTGTTATTATTACTGAAGCGATTAAGAGGCCCCACTCAACCAGTTGCCCATTGTTAGGCATTGAACAGACGTGTGTGATTCCCTGCCCCAAAGTGTTTACAATCTATACAGAGCCAAAGAGTGGGGGAGGGAAACTGAGGCATGGAGAGGGTGGTGACTTGCCCAAGGTGTCACAGCAGGGCTGAGACCAGCTCTCAAATTTCCTGTCTCCCAAGCCGCTTCCTCATTCACTGAACCACAAATCTCCCTTGATTGTGTTGTTTCTGAACCGTTGCCCTGGCCTTTCTCTCTCCTCCCTTTCCAGGACGAGAACATCATGAGCTCCATGCAGCTGTTCGAGAATGTGATCTAGAATGCGATCTCATCTCTCCCAGCGCGGCTGCCTCCTGGCCTGCACGCAGACAGACGCCTCAGTCTGTCTCTCTCGTTAAGCACACACACATCTTTATGAGGAGAAAAACAAACTCTTTTTATATTTAAAAACAAACAAAAAAACAACCAAAAAAAAAAAGAGAGGACATGATCATGTTTGCTCCCGACACTGACTGGATTCTCATTTGAAGGGCAAGAGGAGACAGAGAGAGATTGGGTTTCATGGATTTGTCTGACCTAGCAGAGGGATTGGCTAGCTCTCCCCTAGGATATAGCCAGGGACTGCTGCACAGCGTCAAATACCACCCATGGGAAAGAGACCAGCCTCGTGGATTAAGCTCAGCACTTCTCACATGGTAGCTGGATGGAAAAGATGTTTGCATGTGGGAGGTGGAGTTCTTCTCATTCGCACCAAGTGAGACCCTAGCAATGGGGCAGTTACTGGGTTCCATCAGGAAAACGAGGGAGAGGCATTTACTGAAGAAGAAATAGGTCTCTAGCTAGATCCTCAGCTGGCACAATTTGGCATAACTCCATGGACTTCATACCCCCATTGCGAAATTTGACTTCAACTGAACTCCATCAATTTTTACCAGCTGAGGACCTGCTCCCCACTTTTCCATGTGCAGGTAGCTCCTGGGCCAAGATCCTGGAGCCTGAATGTCTCTCAGATGAGAGAGGACGGTTGGTGGACATCTAAATAGAAGACATTCCTGACTGTTGGGAATCATCTGCAGAACTTCAGTTCTAAAAGCACAAGAGTGTCCACTCAAAGGCAGGTTCCACATTGTGTGTGAATGTTAGAGAGTGTACAGAGCCTTCAACGAGACTTCCTCGGTAGCGTCCCCAGAGAAGGGAAGCAAAGGAAGAAGCTAGCACGCCTTCTCCCCAATCACAGTGAGAATGAATGTCCCTCCACCCGCAGCGGTAGGGGAGAACAAGGTATCTTCACTCAGACAACTGGAATGGGGCGATCTGCAACAAAGAAACAGGATCTGAATTTCCTGAAGCAGAAATACAAGCACAAATACCCTGGCCCTTCCAAACTGGAGGAGGAGACGGGCCCTCGCTGCTACGTTCTGGAGCTGAAATTTTCCATCGTTTTCCACTGGTCCATCATCTCCATCAGCCCTGGCTCGAATATCTGTTGACTGGAATTGAGGGTTACACTGGGAACCTGTTATTCTGTGGGATGGGCAGTGTTGTGTATCCGCGTTGGTCCCCGGGTGTGTGAGAGACAAGGTGGGTGAGGTACAACCTAGTTTAAGTCCAGCTTCTGTTGGTGGCGAGGGCAAGCTTTTGAGATACATGGAGACAGAGGAAGAGCCCTGTATAGCTCAAACTTGTCCTCTCCACCAGCAGAAGTTGGTCCAGTAAAAGATATTACCTCACCCACCGTGTCTCTTCTGTGACACTGGAAGCTGATGGGCGATGACTTACGAATATGCCCAAAGCTCCAGGCTGCAGTTGAAAGTCATAAGTCAAATAGGGCGTGAAATATCACCTATCCATGGGGGACGTTTTCAAGGTTTGGTTTGAGGGACTGTGTTTTGTTCTGGATTTTTTAACAAGTGACTATTTCCAGGACTGAGATGAGATCTGCCACTGGGCGAACAAGTCTTGAAAGAGGCCAGAGGGTTGGAAAAGCCAGCTGGAAAGCAGCGCATGTAGGGCTAGACAAGACACCGGGCATCGGGTTTGGTAGGGAAAGCTCTGCAACCAAGAGGGTGTCATCCTCAAGATCCAAGTCAGGGATAAGTCAGTACAGTCTCTAATGAGGAACTTTCTAAGTAGCTGGCTGCTCCATCTCACTGGGATTTCCTGTTTGCCATGTCAGAGTCAGAGCCATGGGGTATCTGTTTCCATGCCAATAGAAATCCCCTAGATGAGGTGCCCTAGAGAGACTCCCCTCTAGATGAGGTGCCCTAGAGAGACTCCCCTTTCGGTTCCTTCAGTAACCTTGGATGCGTCTGGTTACTGAATGACCCCATCTCGCTGCAGATGGAACAGTGTCTGGTTAGAAGAGCACCAAGCCTGAGAAATAGTCCCTGGGTCTGCAGTGGGGAAGAGCCCACCAAACACTCTGGGGAAGAGAAGGTGTCTTGGTGGAAGTTGTCACTGATGCTTAAGCTAGTGCAGGCTCTGCCTCTTTCTCACAGGCCTTCCCCCTCGGGTACAACCAGATCCACCTTTATCCCTCACGACCCCCAAGTCCTCCAGCCCCACTTCCCAGATCTGAACTAGCACCAGGAGCCGCACTTTTAACCACTCAGACTCAGTCCTCATCTTCCTCTCAACCTCTCTCAGTGCCCAAAGGCTGCCTCTCTCTCTGCCCAAGGCCCAGATCGGTCTGTTTCTGTCTCCCACTGCCAAGAAGGCTCTGAATTCCGGCCGTCTCTCCCTCTCCTCTACCCTAAGCCCTCTCCCGGAGGCTGTGAGTTTGCACTCGATACTTCCTGACATATGTACAGTATAAGGAATGGCCGCATGTCTCACTAGCAGTAGCCTTTACTCCAGTGCCCCATATCTCACGACCACCCTTACAGCACAATCTGGGGAGACAGTCGTCGGTTCCTGTTCTCTGTAACTACTTGATATTCAGGCACTGTATATTTTAATAAAATAAACTGAAAAAAAAAAGAAAAAGAAAAGGCTCCCATCCATTTTGCTTCCTTCTCTGGCTGCAGAGCCCAACTGGTTCTGTATCCAATTCCTTCCCGTGCCATGAAACACAGCTGATAGCATGAACACGGTTCCATTCTTGCTGTCTATCCTGGGCCTCTCTTTCCATATCCACTTGGGATGGGCCGTGTTATGGAGGCTGAGTATGGGAGACCCTGGAGGTGTGGAAAAACTCTGCTGAGCACCATGCACAGAGCGGGGGATGCCTGCAGTTTAGCCCATGCAGCGCTGGTTGATTCATGCCTTGGGACAAGCTCAGCCATTTTCCTGTAGGCTGCTGTGCTTGGAAGAAGTGATGCTGTAACGTGACAGAAAGGATCACCCTCGAGGAGACAGTCCTGACCCACGGTGCCGCCCTGCTTTGCTCGGCACGCGCCTGCAGCACCCAGCGCCATGCGCCTAGTTTATTAATGTGTTATTTTAATGACAGTTCCTAGGCGCCCCAGTCATGGACACGGGCTCGGTGGTGAACAAACACAGAACAAGCCTTCCACTGCTGCTGGTTTCTGATCCTTCCATTGTGTTGGAAAGGCGGGGGGATGGTTGACAGCAGGAGGGCAGGGGGCTGAGATGAGGCAGATGAAGGTAGGGAGCAAGGACTCCTGGGGGCAGGAGGAGGCGGGTTTTCTGGAGCAGGGTGCGGGGGGATGGCGGAGCCGATCTCTCCAGCCCTGCAGTAAAGAGGGGGCGTGAAGGGCTAGCGGGCTCCCTGTGGGCCCTGGCCACTGGGGCATGCCCCAGCTTCTGGAGTCACGTGGTGGGGGGAGCGGAGCCGAGGGGGGCCCGCGCTCTCCCAAGGGGGCTGGCCTGCAGCGGCAGAGCGGGAGGAAGCGTGACAGCCCGCAGGGGGCCGCGTTAGAGCCCCGGCCCCGAGCAGCTGCTGGTGCACCCTGTGAGCCGGGCCAGGGCGTGTCAGGCCGATGGGGTGCAGCACCTTGGGGTGCAGCCGGGAGCTGCTCTGCCCTGCAGATGGGGGCGTCCATGGGAGTCTGCTGGGGCGGGGAGGGGGCACAGGGCGACCCCTATGGAAGGTAACTGGTTCCCTAGTTATGATGGCGCAGCCTGGGGCCTGCCCTGCCCCACGCTTTGCCCCTAGTGTCATGGCGCCCAGCTGGGCTCGCCCCACACTTTGCCCCTAGTGTCATGGCGCCCAGCCGGGCTCGCCCCACGCTGTGCCCGTGGTGTCATGGTGACAGCCAGTCACGCTCTCTGAGGGCACAGAAGAGTGGGCGGGGCTTATTAGCTAGCGGTTTATTGGTGGCAGCGCGTGAAGTCCCGCCCTAGCCGCTCTCTGATTGGATGTTGGGTCCCCCACCGCCCTCGTTGCGAGGGGAGGAGGAGGAGAGGTGGTAGGATTTTTATTGGTTCCCCGCCGGCCGGAGACTGTGATGGCGTCACAGGTCGGTGACGGAGGCGCGGCTCGGCTTTGTGACGGCATCGGCGAGCGACCGCAGGAGCTGCGGCAGGCCCGCAGCCACCCCAGAGCCGCTGAGCAGGTAGCGGGGGAGGGGCCCGGCGGGCCCTGTGCGGGGGGGTCAGTCCCGCTCCCGGGGGCGGGGCGGCCTGGCGCTGCCCCCCCCCCCACAGCACCTGCTCGCTGGGCTCAGCGACTGCCCGTTACTCCCGCCCCCGACCCCCCGCCCGCTCGCTCCGGCCCCGCCCCCGCCCCGCCCCGCCCCGTTAGATCCAGCCCCGCCTCGGCCCAGCGGCTCCAGCCCCGCCCCCGCCGGCCTGACAGAGGGGACCCCCCCCGCCTCCCTCGCGCCCCCCCCGGCCTCACAGAGCGACCCCCCCGCCTCCCTCGCGCCCCCCCCGGCCTCACAGAGCGACCCCCCCCGCCTCCCTCTCTCCCCCCCCCCGGCCTCACAGAGCGACCCCCCCCGCCTCCCTCTCCCCCCCCGGCCTCACAGAGCGACCCCCCGCCTCCCTCGCCCCCCCCCCTCAAGCCCCCCCCCCCCCCCCTCCCCCCCCCCTCACAGGCGACCCCCCCCCTCCCTCCTCGCCCCCCCCCGGCCTCACAGAGCGACCCCCCCGCCTCCCTCTCTCCCCCCCCGCCTCACAGAGCGACCCCCCGCCTCCCTCGCGCCCCCCCCCGGCCTCACAGAGCGACCCCCCCGCCTCCCTCGCGCCCCCCCCCCTTCCCTCTCCCCCCCGGCCTCACAGAGCGACCCCCCGCCTCCCTCGCGCCCCCTCCCCCCCGGCCTCACAGAGCGACCCCCCGCCTCCCTCGCGACCCCCCGGCCTCACAGAGCGACCCCCCGCCTCCCTCGCGCCCCCCCCCGGCCTCACAGAGCGACCCCCCCCGCCTCCCTCGCGCCCCCCCCGGCCTCACAGAGCGACCCCCCCGCCTCCCTCGCGCCCCCCCCCCCGGCCTCACAGAGCGACCCCCCCGCCTCCCTCGCGCCCCCCCCCGGCCTCACAGAGCGACCCCCCGCCTCCCTCGCGCCCCCCCCGGCCTCACAGAGCGACCCCCCCCCTCCCTCGCGCCCCCCCCCGGCCTCACAGAGCGACCCCCCGCCTCCCTCGCGCCCCCCCCCCCGGCCTCACAGAGCGACCCCCCCGCCTCCCTCGTGCCCCCCCCTCCCCCCCCCCCCCTCAAGGCCCCCCCTCGTCCCCCCCCCTCCAGGCGACCCCCCCCTCCCTCCCCCCCCCCGGCCTCACAGAGCGACCCCCCGCCTCCCTCGCCCCCCCCCTCCCTCCCCCCCCGGCCTCACAGAGCGCCTCCCTCTCCCCCTCCTTGGCCTCACAGCGACCCCCCGCCTCCCTCTCTCCCCCCCGGCCTCACAGAGCGACCCCCCCCCTCCCTCGCGCCCCCCCGGCCTCACAGAGCGACCCCCCCGCCTCCCTCGTGCCCCCCTCCCTCATGCCCCCCTCCTTGGCCTCACAGAGCGACCCCCCCGCCTCCCTCGCCCCCTCAGCTTCACCGAGGGCCCCCACCCCACCCCTGTGACACCGTCGGGTTCACAGCCCGGGCCTCTGTGGCGCCATGGGAATCCGGACGCAGCCGTGCGTGACCCTGGCGAACAACTGCGTGTCCCAGAGTTTGAGCCCTGTGTGTGACCAGTTCCCCCCCGTGGTAGAGCGAGATCCCAGGTTCTGGTTACTTTCCCTTGGGGCGGTCAATAGGGGGCCCGCCAGCCAAACCTGGGCTGCCGGACGCTTTCAGACAGACCCTGAAATATTTGTATTTATTTATTTATCTGTCATCATTATTATTCCTGTATTTTCTCTGGAGTCTGGACCTTGACCAAGAATTTGGAACTTGACCAAAAAAATGATAGTTACCACTGCTGGGCAGAGATCCAACCCGCGTGGATGGATGACCCGTCCACGCTCGTTTGTCTCTCTCCTGCAGGATCTGATGCCGGTGCTGATCCTAAGAGCCCTTCCAGCGACTCTGAGACTGAGCTGGAGGCTGCCCGGCTGGGGCAGGACATAGGCCAGGGACGTTTCCCATCGAGCTAAGGCCATGAGGCTGGTCCAGTTCCAAACCGGCTCGGATGGGCCCAGGATTGGGCTGGAGGAGAAAGATGGTGGCAACGTGATTGATTTAAATGCTTTCGACCCCTCCCTGCCCAGAAGGATGAGGGAGTTCCTGGAGGAAGGGGACGCAGCACTGGCCCTAGCGAGACGGTAAGTGCGGCTCTCCAGCAACCCTGCAGGGGGTGCTGGAAGCTGTTTCCACCCTGAAAGGCCAAGCAGACCCTCACGCTAACAAGCCCCCCATCCAGGGGCTGTCCCCTTCTTGTGCGTTGGTGCTTGGGTTTCCCTGCCGCTTGGCACCCTTGTGGGCTCCCCGCACCTGCCGCAGCTATGCCAATGGGGGCTTTAACAAACAAAAACCAATGGGGGCAGGGGAGGCAGGCACAAGAGGTGAAGGCCTGGGGCTCGCTGTCTGATCTGTCCTGTCTGCACAGCGTGAAGAGTTACAGATTTAAGCCTGGATCCTCAAAGGTATTTAGGCACATACCTCCCAATGATTTCAGTGAAAGTGAAGTGCCTAAATACCTTTGAAGGTCTGGGCTTCAATGACTAGAAAGCAGGGAATGGAGAAGTCAGATTCTCTCAGTGATGCCCGGTGTCTCTGCAGGCTACATTTAAATCCTTATGCTAATAACCCTTAGTGCCTCTACAGATCGTCTTCTCCAGAAATTGCAGTGATCCCAAAGCTGGGAGGAAGCATGGCTCAGTGGCTAGAGCACTGGGCGGTCAAGAGCCCTGGGCAGAGGCGCTGACTTTCTAATGTGCCGGGGGGGGCTCCCCCCTGCTCTGCCCCAGGACCTGCCCCCACTCCACCCATTCCCCCAAGGCGCTGCCTCTTCCCTCCCCCAACTGTGCCCTGCCCTCACTCCACCCTGTCCACCCCCGGTGCCTCCTGCACACCGCGGAGCAGCTGATCACGATGGGCAGGAGGTGCTGTTGGGGGGGAAGGCACTGATCAGTGGGGCCGCCTATGGGCGGGAGGGAGGTGCTGATAAGAGACTGCCAGTGGGTGCTAAGCACCCACTATTTCTTTTTTCTGTGGGTGCTCCGGCCCTGGGTTCTAGTCCCAGATCTACCATGGACTCAGCGCATGGCCTTGGGCAAGGCATTTCCCAGCCTCATGCTTCAGTTTCCCTGTCTGTAAAACAAGGGGATAATGAACCTCTAAGCACTTTTAGAGCTAGGGACGGGACATCCTTCGATGGGCACTAGGGGGCACAGTTGTTATTCCTGAGATTTGGAAGCTGGTTAGGAAAGGGGTGGATGTGTACAGCTGGGATTGTCCTAGTCCTGGACCCACGCTCTGACTGGTCATTCTCAGTGGAGGATTCTCAAGGCACTGTCTGTGCAACAGGTAGGTGTGAGCCCCATTTTACAGGAGGGAAACTGAGGCACAGGGAGGGGCAAGAAATTGCTTACAGCTACACAGGAAATCCATGCCAGAACTGGAAGTAGAATCCAGGGGATCCAGTTCTCCCAGTCCCTTGCTTTGACCACTACACCAGTGTCCCTGGCTTCCCCAGTGAAGAGCCTCCCCATTCTCTCAGCATCCCTTATATCTGCCCCTTCCCTCCTCTGTCTCTAGGGCTCAGGAGTCTGGCCAGCAC